AAATCAGGTTTGAACAGATCCATCGCCTTAATTCTGCAAGCCGCCACAGTCTCTGTGGCTGAACAGGCTGTTCATTTCCACCCCCTGCCCTCCAAAGCCACTTGGCGGAGCCTGTCTAGGGCTTCACACTTTGTCTCCATGGTTGTTCACTTGGGCAGGCTTGGAATCACGGGTACATCCTTTGATAAGCAGAGGTTATTGCTTGATGATCTCTGAAGTCAATTTTAGCTTCTGATTAATTCATTTGGATTATAGCCTAGAGGCTGGCTTTTATTACCTGTGTTCTCAGCTGCAGTCATCAGCAGTTTCCACACCAATAAGCACGTGTTTCTGTGGTCCCTGTTCCCATGCTGCACCACGGCAGAATGGCCCCCCTCTGCATCTGTATTTTCCGAATGGAGCCCAGGCTGTGGAATAGTCTGCATTCTCTACCTTGGATCATCAGAATTATGTAGGCATATTTGCTTTAGATTTAAAATATTTAGTAAGTAGAATAAGCACTCTCATTAAGTTTTTTTTTTTTTTTTGTGGTTATCACAATTCTACATGATGAATTTCTACGTTGGCCCTTTACAACATGAATTTTAATGCATCTTCCGTGTGCCGGCAGCCTTACTGCTAATGCTGGTCCAAATATTTATTCAATAAATATTTCTCAAGTCCCGCCTCTATTCAAGCGCTCTGGAGGGTACAACTGTAGCTTTCTCACATATATAGCATCAAAGCACCTGCCATTTGGAACACAAAAAAGATTGGTATCACAGCTTATGAGAATGTCCCAGGTATGGGGCCTCCAGATGCCTTCCTGCTTACCAGCTCTAGACGGGGCCTGGGGTGTTGTAGGCGCCTCAAAATATGAGTGTTTCTTCCTATCTCTCCATTCGGAAGGAGCCCATACATTGCTCCATAGCCAGCGTCTTTATATAAATCTCTGCCAGATGACTTCTGACCCAAAGGGGAGAGGTGCACCGGGGCAGCCTCCCAGGCTCCTGCACACACCCTGCAGCAGTTCATTAGCCATCCAGAGGCAGTGAGGGCATGCATGCCCTTAGGTTGTTCGTCTTACCATGGCCCCGTGACTGAGGCAGCGTTGTCAAACTTGACAGCACAGAACTCTTGGAAATGTTCATGGCTTCCAATGCAAAACACTAGGCTTCTGCTGGTGTCTTTTTTAAAAGCAGCTTTTTGAGATATAATTTACAGACTATACATTTCACTCACTTAGAGATACCATTCAGGGGCATTCACCACATTCATAGGGATATACAGTCATGAACCCAGTCAACTGTGGAATATTTTTATCACTTTAAAAACCATGTCTCAGGGCCAGCCAAATAGCTCAGTGGATTAAAGCATCTGCAAGCAGGTGCAGGGGCCAGGGGTTCTATCCCCAGGCCTGCCTTGCCGGCCCTGCCCCTGGGGCCCACTGAGACAGCAATTGATACTGGGCGTGGTGGTACAGGTCTGTAATCCCAGCTCTTGGGAGGTTGTAAATAGGCAGATCACTACAAGACTGATCTAGGGGCCAGGGAGATGGCTCAGTGGAATAAGCACTTCCCTGGCAAGTGCAAGGGCCTGAGTTCAATGCCTGGTTCCACAAAAAAAAAAAAAAAAAAGACTGATCTAGTGTGTAGTGAATACTCTGTAGACCTTACCCTAAATACAAGAAAAAAACAAAACAAAACAAAACACCTCTAATGCCAAATACTTAAGATTATTTTAAAATATTTTGTTCATATTCTTGTTTTATAATTAAAATATACATTCAGTGTGAAAAAAAATCTCCTTTGGCTCTCTGCCCTACATCCCTGGCAAGCCCTAAGCAACCACTGATTTCCATTTTGTCTCTAAATATTTGCCTATCCTGAAAATTTCATATAAATGGAATCATCTAATATATGACCCTTTGTGATTGGCTTCTATTACTTGCCATGGTATTTCAAGGGACAGTCACTCGGTAGCATGCATGGGTCAACACTTCGTTCCTTTTTAGGCTCAGATATTCTATTGTGTAAATGTATACCACATTTTGAAAAAAATCAGTTTATCAGTTGATTACCATTTAAGCTTCTTCCATTTGATTACTATGAATAATGCTGTTGCAAACATTCATATACAAGTTTTTGTATAGACATATGTTTTCTTTTTAATAGACTCAGGAGTGTCATTGCCGGTCCCTTGGTATTCCTGTCTTAACAGTTTTAAGAAGGGTTAGACACTTTTCCAAAGTGGCTGCACCATTTTATATTCCCACTAGTAGTATATGAGAATTCTTATTCTTCTACATCATCATCAATAGTTATTATCTGACTTTTCATGATAACCATCCTAGTCGGTGTGAAGCAGTGCCCTTGTGTATGTATATATATGGTTTCTATCCAAGTCCTTTGTCCAATTTTATATGAGTTTTAATTGTTGAGTTGTAATGCTATTTAATATACTCTAGATGGAAGCCCTATATCAGGTATATGATTTTGTAAATATTTCCTTCCCATTGTGAATTGTCCTCTCCCTTTCTTGATGGTATTCTTTGAAGCACAGAAGTTGTTAATTTTTTTGTTTGTTTGTTTGTTTTGCAGAACTGGGGATTGAACTCAGGCCCTTGTGCTTGCTAGGCAAGCACTTCTTCTACTGAGCCATCTCCCCAGCCCAGAAGTTGTTAATTTTGATGAAGTCCAATTTATCTGGTTTTCTTTGCTTGCTCATGTTTCTGGTATCAAATCTAAGAAAGCCTGGCCACATTGAAGGTCATAAAGATTTACCCACTATCTTTTCTTCTAAGTATTTATGGGTTTTGAGCTTATATTTAGGTTTTTAATAATTTTTTTAATTTTATTTATTTATGTGTGTGTGTGTGTGGGTGGGTGTGTGTGTGTGTGTGGCCAGCTCAGCCCACCAGGGGGCGCGGCTGGCTGGCTTGTGGTGCCGGGGGATTGAACCACAGTCCCTGCGCTTTGCTAAGCTTGTTCTAAGTAGGTGCCCCAGACCACTGAGCCATCTCACCAGCCCCTAGGTTTTTAATAATTTTGATTTGATTTTTATGTGTGACAGAAGTAAACATTTACCTTCATTCTTCACATGTATATTCAATTGTCCCAGAATCTTTTTCCTCGTCTCCTTCCCTACTTTTTTATGATACTGGGGCTTGAACACCGGGGCTTCACACTGAGCTATACCTGCAGCTATATAGCTATACCTATACCTTTTTTAAAATGTTGAGCTAGTATCTTTCTAAGTTGCTAAACTGCCCAGGTGGGACTTGAGCTTTTAATCCTCCTTAGGCCTAGCAGAGTCCTGGAATTACCTGTGTGTGCACCTTCCCAGCTGTCCTGGTACCATTGAAAAGACTGACTTTTCCCCCACTGAATAGTTTTGGAGCCCTTACTGAAAATCAGTTGAATAGAAAAACACATGGGTTTATTTCTAGACTCTCAATTCTACTCCACAGACTTATATGCCTATTGTTATGCCCATTACATCTATGTTTTCATTACTGTTGCTTTGTTGTAATTTTGAAACCCAGAAGTGGGAATACTCTGGTTCTTTGTCATGATTGTTTTAGCTCTTCTATGTCCTTTGTAATTTCATATGACTTCTAGAATCAGCTTGTTAATTTCTTCAAACAGATCAGCTAAGATTCTGACAGTTTATTTTTAATTTGTAGAACAGTTTGGATATATTGCCATCTTAATAAGTCTTCCAGTTCATGAACACATTTCTTTTTCCATTTTGCTATATGTCTTGCTTTTCTCATTGCTCAGAGAAAATATCCAACACCCAAAGTTAAAGGAGGAAAGGTTTATTTAGCTCGCACTTGGTAGAGGTTTCAGTCTGTGGTCGGCTGGCTCCCAGGCAGGGTGGCCTGGCACAGGGGCAACAGTTCATGGCAACAGAAGGCAGCAAAAGCAACAGCAGAATCTTAGCAGCATCAAAATAGGGCAGTGCCAACCCAATCAGTGCGCTGATCCAGCAGTCACCCACCCTTAATCCCAGCATTAATCCCACTGTGAATCAAACACACACTCTGGATTCAGCCTCCTCCAAAGAAAGGTCCATCTAAAACCACATGAGACTTTGGGGAGATAGCTAGACCCAAACCATAACACTCTGCTTTTTAAAACCTTTATCAACAGTGTTTTATAGTTTTTCAGTGTATACGTTTGAATTTCTTTCAAGTACTTTATTCTTTTTAATTGCTATTATAAGTAGAATTTTCATTTTCAGATTATTCCATGAAAGTATGTAGAAATACAATTGACTGTTTTTCATATTGATTGTTACCCAGCAACTTTCTGAATGAATTCATTAGTTCCAGTGGTGGATCCCTTAGAATTTTGGTCATATAAGAGATCTTTTTTTCTCTTACCTAATTGTTTCCTCTTGTTTCTGATCTTAGCGTACAGCATCCAATCTTTCACCATTAACTATGATGTTAGCTAGAAGAGTTTGTAGTTAAGAAAGTACCTTTCTATTCCTGGCATGTTGAGTGATTTTATCATGAAAAAGTATAGGATTTTGTTAAATGTTTTCTCCATCTCATATAGTCTTTTATTTTTATTCTGTCAATATAGTGTGTTACATTAATTTATTTTTAGATATTAAACTAATTTTGCATTTCTGGGCCAGAAGAGGGAAGTAGTGGTGTTAGAAAGGAAGTAAAAGGTAGAGAGTCTGGGACAAGCCCTCAGACTCCTGCAGGGCCACCAGGGGAGGAGAAATGTTTGTTTGGATTTCATTTCCCAGTCACCAGTAGCCAAGATAATGACGTTTTCTTCTAAACGTGGAAGGACGTATCTCCTAGTTCCTACTAAAATATGCTTTAACTGGGGAGGCAGCTGTCTCCGCCTGCTGACAGGGTGCCATTTGTAATGATGCAGTGGCCTCCATTTTTGCTCTTTTCTGCCCTCACAGACAGGAGCGCGGGGTTTGCCAGGACGGAGACTCGGGTAGCTCCCGAACCGCTCTCTGATCTCTGCTCTCTGCACTGCCTTCTTGCTTAGCCAAGACAGTCACCATGGAAGAGTGCCTGGGGAGGCCCACAGGCATGAACCGCTACAGCCTGGACCCCTGCTCCACCGCCTTCCACCACAGGGGCTTGTTGCTGCCTTCCTCGCTGCACTGCAAGAAGCTGAGCCCTGGAGACTGCCATCTTGGGGGAGGCCCTGCTGCCGCTGTCACCAGCATTCCTCGCACTGGCCCTGGGCCTTCTGCAGGCTCCTCAGCACCTGGCCTGAGGGCTCCTGCCTCCAGCCCCAAGGGAAACGGGACTTGTCTCGAAGGAAACAGATGTGGTAATGTAACACACGCTTTGGCCTTCCTGTGACTTCTCTGTCCTCACCCTGGGAACACAGCATGTGGAGGAGGGTGTGGCCGCTTGCACAAGGGGCCATTGAGAAGCCAGAGGTTTCCACAGACCCTATCTATTATGGATTCTGATTGTTTTTGAAGGCAATGAATCTCAACTTCGACCATAAACAAAGCAAGCAGTGCATGAAGGTAGTCTGAGCTGTAGGTACATATAAGTAGACTCCAAAATGTGCACTGGCTCAGATGTCACAGAGGGTTTCGTTCAAGAGTCCACACTAGGTGTTCCCCCCTAGTTTCTAGGTATGTCCCAGGTCTCCTGCCCATCGTGAGGCGAGGCCATCCTCCACCATCTCACGCATCTAGTGGATATTATGGAATGGAAGGAGTACAGAAGCCAGCATGGAGAAGGCACACATGCTTCCCTGAAGCCAGGGCACACACCTAGATTCCATTTGCATTTCATTGGCAAGAGCCAGTCACTTTCTCACACTAACCTGTGAGGAAGTCTAGGGGCTGCATCCCTGTGCTGAGGAAAAAGAAGAACCAGACTTTGGGGAAGAACTATCTCTTGTATAGTGAGTGATACTTGCAAGGTACAAGTACACGAACAAAAGCAGAAATCCTAAATGATGCTTTTCAGGGCACTTCTGTCTCACCCACTAAAGAATGTTGTTGGACTGTGGTATAGCGAAGTGCTTGGAGCATCACAGGGATATGATTTACAAAATCATTTTCAGACTTCGGTATTTCGGGGGTCAGGAGGTGGCTCAGTGCAATAAGCGCTTCCCTGGCAAGTGCAAGGGCCTGAGTTCAATCCCCAGTTCCGCTAAAAAAATCAAGAAAAACCTCAGTATTTCATTAATGAATAGAGGCCGTGGAGCAGCCTGGATAACCTCATGGATGTAAGCCAGCTGCCTGGGCAGGGATCCTGGGCCTGCTGTCTTCTGATGGGGTGGTCACTCGCAAGTCTTCACTTCTCTGTGCCTCAGTTTGTCTTCAGTGGAGTTGGAATGATAGGAACGGCAGCACCCACTTCACAGGATTACTGGGAGAGTTATATAAGTCCATACACTTAGTACAAGGCCTAGGCATAGTAAGAGTTCAATGTGTGCTTGTAGACATAGACCCAGCACACACACAGCCCCATCAACTCTGCAGCTTGGAACTGCTGTGAAAAGGAGGCCCAGGATCAAGGCTTCCGGGAGTCTTCTTGCCCCTCTGTAGCTGCCTACTAGGGTGGTGGTATCTTTTTAAACAAGTCGCATTTCTCTTTTGGCCATGGTACCCCTCCCATGAGCCACTCTCAAGAGCTTTTTGTATAGTGCAAGATGCTCCACACATTCCTGTCAGAGCCTCATCCATGCGAGATGAGCACAGCCCGACAGGCCCTGTTGGCCAGGTTGGAGAGGGGAGCAGGCCAGTGCAGTACAGGCGGTTCTGAGGGGCAGTGTGGATGCCCTCTACAGGGGCTCTGCCATGCACACCACTCCCCAGCATTGTCACCCAGGGCCACTGATTGGGCAGGAGACTTAAGTGAACAGAGCCCCGTTTTCCAAATGAAAGAAAAACATGATTTCATTTGATTCCAAGGAGAAGAAAGGGATCAGACCTGACCGGCACCAATGTCTTCAAAAGGAGCAGCATTTACTTGGTAGGTTTGTCCCAAGGTAGCATAAAATCTGGCATTAGGAAGAGGTCGATACCATTCACTGTCTTCGTGGCCTCCCAGTGTCTCAAGTTGTCAAAACCCTCCTCCTGGCGTCCCACTGCCTTTTAGATGTCCCTTTCTCTCACCCCCTTCTCAATTCAGTTCCAATTTTTCTCAGGGCAGTGATCACAGGACACTGCACTGATTGAGTGCAGTCCTAATTCTCAAGGTATTGCCACTTCTTACAAAGGAAGTGTTCATTCTGTGTCTCACATGCGGCTGACATCCCAGGCCCTACATCATGAGTGCAGGATTCTGAGCCATAGGAGGGAGGCAGGATTTGGCTGGAGTGTCATCTGCCCCACCTGTGTCTGCCTATGACACTTTGTTAGAGATTCCAGGTTCCTTCAAAGGGCCTCAAAGCAGTTCCCTGCCTCCAGCCCTTCCATGCCTCCTCTATCCTGCCTGGGCTTCCCCTTCACCCACTGCAGCTCTTTGTTCTCCTGAAATGCAACCTCACTGAGTAATCTTGCCAGACAGCTGCTGGAGGGTACCCCGGACACTTCCTCAGGACTTGGATCTAGAAAGCCCTGTCCGTGGGAGCCCAGTCACACCCACGAGAGCCCCTGAGCCCAGGACTTTGCCCTCAGGGTCCTGGGTGAGATCAGAGAACCAGCACACCATCACCTGCTGCTTTCTGCTGCAAGCAACCCAATAACTCTATCCTGAATGCCCATTGTCTTCTTTGCAACTTAGAAAAATTGAAAAGAACCTTACCTAAAACCGTGAACATTTGAGCTGTTCACAGCGTCAGGAGCCCCCTGCAGCTGTGAAATGTTGGAAACCACAGAGCTCCTCTTGGCATAAACGTGCTGTAGGATACAAGGGTTGAAGTGAGCCTTTGTGATGCATTGGAAGAAAGTCAAATTATTTGTTCTTTGTGAGGACATGAACTGTTCCATGCTCCTCAGAATGCTGAATGAAACTGCGGCTACCAGAAGGAGCCCCTCAGCCTTGCACTGTCTCAGGAGCAAGATGGGAAGTGAGTGGAAAGAAAAGGGGACAGAAGTCTCGCAAGCATAGCTCTGGAAGAGCTTTCCCCTTCCACTTATCCTTGAGTGGCCAGAGTTTAGTCACATGGCCACTAGACGGAGGGAAGCTGGGGAATGTGATTTCAATTTCAGGCAACCTGGATTTAAATAAAAAGCAGAGATTCTGTCTAGTTACTGTTTACTCATTGCTGGGACAAATACCCAACACTCAAAATGAAGAAAGGAAAGGTTTATTTAGCTCACAGTTACTGGAGGGTTCAGTCCATATTCCACTGGCTCCAGGGCAAACGACAGCAGTTCACACGGCAGAAAACAACGAAGAGCAGAGAGGAGCAGCAGCTGCGGCGGTGTCCATCAAGCCTCTCTCTTCCTTTTGTGCTGACTATGAAGACCAGAAAGTGTAGCTCCTCCAAAGTGGTGCGGCTGTGAAGCTCAAGCTCCTTGGAAGACTGGGACTGCTCGATGGAAGTGGGGCAGGGCAGCAGGAAGCCTTCCTCAATTCCTGGGCCCTTCCCACCTGCAGGGCTAGGTCCCCAGGCTGAGAACTGCAGGAGCTGAGTCAGCCAAGTTGACACAAAGTATCAACTAACACAGATTCTATTACAAAGGAAGATACTGTATGCCTGCAGGCAGTCTCAGCAATAGCCCTGTTTAGAAGAAATACTTCCTCCCTTTCTTTTTCTATCGCTCAACCCCTTGTTCCCTCATCTCTCCCACCCATGCTAGGGCTCAGATTCCCCAACTTGGACAACTCATTCATTCATATTTGAACTACCATGACCTAGGCAAAGGAGGCTTGCTTGGAGGCCTGCGTTAAATTGCTTTTATTGAGAACCTACTGCTGAACACTCTTCATATATTATTCATTATTTGTTTAAAGTTAGTGTATTTGTGGGGCCAGGGAGATGGCTCAGTAGAATAAGCACTTGCTTGGCAAGTGCAAGGGCCTGAGTTCAATCCCTGGTTCTGCCAAAAATAAAAAGATAAAGTTAATGCATTTGTAATTTACAATAAGAAATTGGCTATATTACATTCAAAGTACAGATAAAGAAAGTGAGGATCCGGAGGGTGAGCCAAGATTTGACTTCAACCTACTCTAAAGCCTCTGTCTTTCAAAACCACCCCAGGGACCTTCCTCCTGTGTGTGAAGGGTTTCCAGAGCCCCACCCCAGCCCCACCTTAGTTTCTAGTGAAGGGAGAAGAATGGATGAGAGCAGACAGGATCCCAGGCTCCCTGAACCGCTCTTAACAGGGCCTCTTCATCTTTGCAGCGTGTGGTTCTGTGTGTGCTTTGCTTGAACAAAATTTGCACAGCTAAAAATTAATTTGAGAACCAAGGGGATGTGCTATTTTGAATTGAGTGGCAATGTACTAAAACAGCCCCTCCAGCCTGTTTCCCACCCACCTGCCTGCCTGCTGCCCTACTGCGGGTCCTCCGGCCTGTGCAGTATTGCTCTGAACATCCTAAGTGGAATCAGTTGGTACCAAGAAACATGCCTCTTTTAGGGGATTTGACCCAAGCCACACATGCTGGAAGAAGCCTGGAAATAGATTTTCTCCTGGGGGTGCCAATCAAAATGGCTTAAAACTACAGAAACCAGAAGACGGCATGAAGCTTCAGGCAGGAACATTGGTATTGACAACGTGATGGATTTCTCAGCCACCTTCTCCCTCCCATGGAATGCGTACCCTGGGCTCCCACTGTCTTGATAGATCTCCCTGTCTCCCTGCCAGTGGGCTCTGCAGGGCTGTGCTCACGAGGTGCATCTCCTTGGTGTTTGCTGAGACTCCAGTGATGTTTGAGGGCTCTTCCCTGGCTCTCACTGAAGAAAGACACAATCAGTAGGAGCTATAACAAGGCTTCAGATGGCAAGAGCTTCCTGAGAATTGCACCGAACAGAACATGCTACAGAATTCCCAACCACAACTCAGCTCAGGATTCAGAATCCAGAAACAAAATAAATCTGACATCATAACCCAAATGCTTCCTGTGGCTTAGATTTTGCTTCAGTGAGGTATGGCACTGGGCGAGGGCTGGAAAAAGAATACGGACAGTGCTCCCAGGCTAGGGGGAGGCATGGGCATGGCTTTTTCATTCTAGGGAGAGAAGAGTTAGTGGAGGACAGTGCGGAAAATCAAGCTGGAAGATGTGTGATGCGTGTCTGGCAGATCAAAGTCTAGTCTGTCATAACCATAAGCTAGATATTTCTGAGCAGGGGAGTAAGCTGATGGTGTGTGATGTAGGAATATAGACCTACTGCCATTTGTGTAATAGGGCACGAGA